AATTTAATCAAAAAATAAATAATCGCATCAATTAATCCAGGAGAACACATGTATTACTCTTAATGTGATACCGGTCAGTTTGACCATCACATAAACATTCAGAGTGGTTGCCATAGAGTTTCATCAAGCAGGACTTAATCCAATCATTCTAATCACACTTGATTTTTTTTTTTTCTTCAAAATCAACAAAAGGAAAATAAATCTCATTCTGCCACTACTCAAATGGACTTTCACATAAGTTTCAGTATAACATACCGTGGCCATGAAATTATATATTTGCAGAAGCATAATGCTTGATGATGACATACAAGAAACGCAATCATTATTTAATTGATGCGACCAAAGGAAAGAGATATTCCCGAATTGGTTTTTCCGAACAAAAAACAATTTTCGGCAGTTATATCAATGAATCATAATTTACAACAAATTATTTATTCACAACACATGCTCTGATACCACATGTAAACATCATTAAGGATCTTGAATAAATAATTTAGTATATACGAAACACTTACTTGATGCGGAAGACGACATAATTTGTGATCTTGATCTTGATGATCACACGAGATTGAATTAATTGGTAGGACTAAATCAGTTTCTCCCTCCTGACCTTCTCTTAACGTAGCAGAAAAGTGATGGGATTATGACTGCGTACCCTAATAGGAGGAGAGAGGACTAATTTATATAGGGGTGTCTTTAAATCTGGTACGTCCATCAAATATCCAGATTAATGGCTTAGATTTGTTTGACTATTAAATAAGGTCTGGCCCAATAAGATAATTAAATGTGAGCCCAATGCTTTCGGGCCACATATTCTTACAGATATAATAAATAAAAAATAAAGATAATAAAAACAAAGCGATCCAATATCCAAATGTGAATTCCCAGAGTTTCAAAACAAAGGCTGGTGTAATAAAGTATTCGTGTCCTCCATACAGTGCTTGTTTTAGTTTTTGGATTTCCAATGTGCGGCCTTTTTTTGAATCCAACTCTATTTAATTTAATGGCAGCAGCAAGAAAATCGATTCACGTCTCTAAAGTTTCTTTCATTTAATTAACTATTACAAATTACACGAGTGCTTGTTAAAAAAATATTCTTAAATTTTAAAATTAATGAGAAAACTATATTAAGTTTAGTTTACTATTTTACAAAAAAATATATTACTATATATTTTAAAATGATATGTGTTACTTATGATTTATATGTGTTATATTATATTAGTTTTTATAACTTATATCATATATATAACTACTTGAAAATATAAATATATTAGTTGATAAATAATTTTATTTTGTAATGAATATTAAAAATAATTTTATTATTGTTATAAAGATAAATATAAATTATTTTTTTATACATACAATATGGATGTTAAATCGAAACTCATCAAAAGAAGATTAATTTGATATATTACATATGTAAAACTAATAAAAAATACAAAAGTTATTAACTTTTAAAATACATATACAATTCAATAGTTATAATAAGGAATGATATTAAAATGCAATTAATGCATGTAACATAGCCATAAATAAGCAATATATTTATAGTTTTAATTACTCCATAAGTCGTATCATCCAATGATTCTATAGCAAAATTGTTAATTTAAAATGTTTATTCACGGTCACCGTGAGACAAACTTTGTGGCGAATTTTTTGGCTTCTCTAGCGGCCAAGGGAGTAGGTGGATTGCAGCGGTTTGATCGGCCTCCTTTAGGAGCGCGCTCTTGGTTACACTATGATATTATTAGCGTGGCTCACCCACGTCGGATTGTGATCGAGCGTTAGCTTTAGCTTCGCTCTCCTTTTCTCGTACCAAAAAAAAAAAAAATGTTTATTTTAATTCTCTTTCTTACTTGTATTATTTATATATTTATTTATCTATGACACATTGACTAATCTTGATCCATTAACGACTAATAAAATTGTTACATTAGCTCATTATTCTTATGACCTTTGACTAAATATTGACTCACTGCATAACATAACATAAAGGGCGAGCTCAAAATTAAATAAGATCAAAGTCGAAGTCAACGACTGAAAAAAAATAGTCAACCCATGGTACGGAGTACGGAAATTAAGGGGAGATTCACATATATCCAACGAAAACCTCGAAATTCACTTGCGTTCGCTAACAAAATC